ATATATATATATATATATATATGTGTGTGTGTGGGGGGGGGCATTCAAGGGAGAACTGATTAGTTTGTGGTAACCGTAAGATCCAATCTCAACCACAAATCAATAGATAAATTATATTATTAAATTTATAATTTTGGTAATTTTGAATTAAAATTTTAATGCAATGACATTTTAGGTATTTTCTCTCTTCTCTCCATCCCCCGTCCTCCGGCCACTGTCTTCCGACCACCGTCCTCTGGTGATATCTAAAAATATTGACTCTGTTAAACATAAGACACAGTGATATCCAAGCACATATAAGATGCATTGTGATAGCATTGTGTTACATCTCCGATCAACCACATAAATGACCTCAGTGTGATAGCCAAACACATATAAGATGCATTATGATACTGCTGTGTTATCACCAGAGGACGGGGGACGGAGAGAGAAGATAGGAGAGTGGATAAAGGAAAGAGGGGGGATGAGAGTTTTGAAATACCTAAGATGTCTTTGTATAAAAAATTTAATTTAAAATTATCAAAATTATAATTTTTTTAATTTATCTAATGATTTGTGGTTGAGATTGGACTTCACGTTTACCACAAACTAATTAGTTATCATTTGATTAGGCCCTATGTATATGTACATGTACATGTATATGTACATGCATAGAGCGTTGGTGATCAGTGTTAATTGAATTCTGTGACAAGGACGTCATACTTCATACATAAGGAAAAGGAAAGCATTTAATGATGATGCATGCAAAACCCTCTATAAAACCATGCTTACTTATTTCCCAAAATTACTATTATATGCCTGCTCGCAAATATGTCATCAAAATATCTCTATTTTCTCATCATCGCCGCCGCCGCCCTTCTTTCCACCATCTCCGGCAGGCCGCTATCAGCGAAGGAGCTGGAAGCAAACGCTAATTTAGGTGGAAGCTTCGGTATTGGAGCCGGTGCCAACATGGGTCAAGGCGGTCTTCTCGGCGGAGCTGTGCCGGGGATGAACACCGGTGTCGCCGGCGGAATTGGTGGCAGTATTGGTACTGGTTTTGGCGGTCTACCCGGTGGCGTTGGTGGTCAAACTGGTGGAGTTGGTGGAGATGGTGGAGGGCTTGGTCAAGGATTTGGCGGTGGTGGGGTGTATGGAGGTGGTGGTGCGAGAGGTGGTCAGGGATTCGGAAGTGGTGGTGCAGCTGGTGGTAGTGGTGGAGATCAAGGGTTTGGTGGGGGTGGTGGGTTGGGGCGTAGTATTGGGATTGGGGGCGGAATTGGGGGCGATACTGGATTGGGCAACGCGGGAATGGGTGCAGGTATAGGTGGTCGGATTGGTGGCGGTGGTCCAGGTGGGTTTGGTAACGGTGGTATTGGTGGAGGAAGTATGGAGGGGCAGGCGGAGACATACGGCGGAGGGTTGCCGTGAGCCGACCATATCTCCGGCGAGTTTTTGCATGCATAGACCATAGCTAGGGTTTTCGTGTTGTAATGAATATTTGGTTGCTAATTAACGTTTATGATGAATAAGAGTCTTTGCATGCATGGCTTTTAACCACTTGTTTGAATAGGTGCATTTTTTTAGCAACGGTTTATAACATTTTTACAACCCAACTTAATTACAATGGTTTAGAAAAATTTCAACTCAATTCAACTCATTTAAAAGTATAACCTAACTCAACCCAACCCAACCCTGATTGAAACGGGTTGGGTTGGATTAGGTTGAATTGGGTTGACGGGTTAGTATTTACATAAATTTAATGAATGAAGTAATTCATAAAATTTAAGTTTATAGATGATTCTATAAAGCATTATATCTAAAAAGATTACAATAGGTTTATATGACGTTTCTGGACGTTTCAACAAGTGTTTTAGAATGATTTTTAAATAAAATGATAGTAATAGTTATTTTATAGAAACATTTTGAGATGTGTCATATAAACTCATCTATTTATTAGACACCTATGTTCATATGACACTTTTTCAAGTCGTGTCGTATAAAATAACTAATATCACACTTTATTTTAAAAGTGTCATAGAATTTATTAAGATGCCCTAAATCATCCTAGAAGCATGTTGTAACTTTTTTAGATAAAAACATTTTTCTTGTTTTTCTTCTTGTAGCGAAATGTTATAACCAAGCATTTTCTTTCCATTAAAGTACAGCATAAACCGACGGGGTATTTAGATTGATGGATTCGTCAACTAACTATCTATCAATATTATTCATATTCTCCGACATATCAATTTGTTTTTGTTGCAAAAGAGATTTCAATAATGTTCTCTTATTAATTAGATTATTTGTCATCATTTTTTGATCGTAAATCTCTTTTGGTAACCTATACGTTTAGCTAAAATGAAATACAAACATAATATAAATAAAAATTATATAAAATTTATACAATATACACACACATAATAAAAAATTATATATTAGAGGCGGGTTGATCTAGGTCCAACTCAATTTCAACTCTCCTAATTGACGAGTTAGTGGTTTGGCAATTTGGGGGGGGGGGGGGGGGGGGCGAGTTGGGTTTAATTGGGTTGTTAGCGAATTGGGTTGGACGAGTTTTGCGGGTTGATAGTTTTTTGCACACCCCTATTTTGGAGTATATATTAAAAGTAAAAAAATCATCGTGTACGTGCGTGTGCGTGTGTGTGTGTGTTTTGAAAGTTGGTTCCCCAAAATAGGAATTAGGTGAAAGTTGGTTCTATTTTGGTGCAATTTTCTCTACTTAAAATTCAAGATTATAAGTAATTATGCATAAGTACAACTTATAAAAGCTCGATTTTTGAATTTGTATAAATAACTGGGGATAAACATAATCAAATAGATGATGAACATCTTATTTTAAAATATAAAAAATCTAAAATATAATTAGAATAATTATCGAGTTC